GAATGCCCATCATGTTGCCGTGAATGCCCATCATGTTATGGTGAATGCCTACCATTTAATGGCGAATGTCTATCACGTTGTGTAAATGCCCATCGCGTAATGGTGAATGCCTACCATGTAATGGTGAATGCCTATCATGTAATGATGAATGCCTATCACGTTGTGGTAAATGCCTATCACATGAATAATGCCTATCATTAGATGGCGAATGTTTATCATGTAATGTTGATTGCCTGTCACTGTGTAGTGCATGTTTTTCATATTATCGTGAATGCCTATCGTGTAATGGTATATGCCTACCATGTTATAGTGAATGCCTATCACGTTGTGATGAATGCCTACCACATTGCGGTAAATGCCTATCACATGAATAATGCCTATTATTAGATGGCGAATGTTTATCATGTAATGTTGATTGCCTGTCACTTTGTACTGAATGCCTATCATATTATCTTGGATGCCTATAGTGTAACGGTAAATGCCTACCATGTTATAGTGAATGCCTATCATGTTGTGGTGAATGCCCATCATGTTGTGGTGAATGCCCATCATGTTGCCGTGAATGCCTATCACGTTGTAGCGAATGCCTATTACGTTGTGGTAAATGCCTATCACATGAATAATGCCTATTATTAGATGGCAAATGTTTATCATGTAATGTTGATTGCCTGTCACTTTGTAGTGAATGCCTATCATATTATCTTGGATGCCTATAGTGTAACGGTAAATGCCTACCATGTTATAGTGAATGCCTATCATGTTGCCGTGAATGCCTATCACGTTGTGGCGAATGCCTATCACGTTGTGGCGAATGCCTATCACGTTATGGTAAATGCCCATCACGTAATGATGAATGCCTACCGTGTTATGGTGAATGCCTATCATGTAATGGTGAATGCCTACCGTGTTATGGTGAATGCCTACCGTGTTATGGTGAATGCCTACCGTGTTATGGTGAATGCCTACCGTGTTATGGTGAATGCCTACCGTGTTATGGTGAATGCCTACCGTGTTATGGTGAATGCCTATTATGTAATGGTGAATGCCTATCACGTTGTGGTAAATGCCTATCACGTTTTGGTAATGCCTATCACGTTGTGGTGAATGCCTATCACGTTGTGGTAAATGCCTATCACATGAATAATGCCTACCATTAAATGGCGAATGCTTATCATGTAATGCTGATTGCCTGTCAAATTTTAGTGAATGCCTATCATATTATCGTGAATGCCTATCGTGTAATGGTAAATGCCTACTATGTTATAGTGAATGCCTATCACGTTGTGGTGAATGCCTATCACGTTGTGGTAAAATGACTATCACGTTGTGGTAAAATGACTATCACGTTGTGGTAAAATGACTATCACGTTGTGGTAAAATGACTATCACGTTGTGGCGAATGCCTATCACGTTGCGGCGAATGCCTATCACGTTGTGATGAATGCCTATCACGTTGTGTTGAATGACTATCACGTTGTGGTGAATGTTTATCAAGTTGTGGTGAATGTCTATCACGTTGTGAAAATGAGTAGGATACTGACATATGGCGTTCCATACATGTTCAGCACATTTCATTTTAGTGTAGTGTAGTCGTCACCTTACTAATATACATGGAAAGCAGAGGTGTGATATACTTGCAGTAGCTGCTTAATAGTGTTTAAATAGTGTTGTTATTAGCTTAAATGCGCATATACTTAGCAAAAATACACAATCATCCGATTCAAAAATAGGCACGCAACTTGTTGTTTTACTTGTCCAGTCTAATCGGAGATTATATCTCGAGATCTCGACTTATTAACCCGAGACCTCGGCTTATTATCTCGACTTACTATCTCGAGATCTCGACTTACTATATCGAGATCTCGACTTTTTTTTTTCGTTTACAAAATGTCCTCAATGAGCTTTCATATTATAAACATAGTTTGATCGAAACTGTTCTATAACGTTGGGGCAGAAAAGTCCGCCGTAGTAATTGTTGAGTTCACTAAATTTCACACCGCAACGACGGAATGGTAGTATGAATATATGGAGTTACTATACAGCAGAAAGGTAGAATAAACATGTAAGTTATTTATTTCCGATTTTTTTAAAATTCTAGTTCGCGTTTCGTTTTCTGTCAAATAGCACACTCGCATTTCTAACATATGGTTATTTTAGAAACAGCCAGTTCACTTGTTTAAATCACGTATTAATGTATCGTTCGCGTCTACCATTAAAACGATTGGACAATTTAAATATATTGTTGGTAAAATGGTGGAATATTTTAAGTTAAAAAATAGGTTGTCAAGTGACTGACAAAATACCGCAACTGATTCGTATTTGTATTTACTTAATTTTGCAGCGAATATTAAAATAAACAAGGAACGAATTGTATTTTGTTCGAACATAAAAACATGATACACAGTTTTCAGTTGGATAATTTTCGTGCATATCCCAAGTCGGAAGCTAGTTGTGATCGGCTGTAGCTAATGTTAGATTTTAACGTGATTTATAAAGGCATTGAGTCAGATTTTTGTGGGCGTTTGCGATTACCAAAACTGCTAGCTAATTAATAATTAATTACAATAATATAGAGTAAAAGAAACTAAAAATAAATATTTGTACACTTATTTGAAACAAAATAATCAGCTTGTTTATAGAATATATAAAGGACAGTGATGAAAATAGAAGGGGTTTCTCTAATAAAAAAAAGATGGATTGACTGGAATCAAAAGGCGACCTTTGTTTAGCACACAATGCATGCATGCAGGTTTGCAAAATATAAACATATGACGACAAAGTGCGTTAGCCTATAGGTGACCGTCCGGAAATGTCACGTCCATAGAATGACCCTTCGGTCATCGAAAGGTCATTTATTCACTCTGTGTTGTGTCGTCAACTAAGAAAAGGTTAGTACTGGTGGGAGGACTCCCATTTTCATTTTAACGCAAATCAACAGGCAATATAACCCATTACAAATCTCCACGATGCTGGGTGAACACGCTAACCAACTGTATACATGAGGCCAACATGCGTATCGTACTAGACTGGCAATTACGCGCACTTATAACGGACAGGGCAGCAGCTACTTGTACTGTATCAATGCTATAGCAGTTTATCGCTTTAGGTACAATGTTCCCCATTTGTATTAGCGGTACGTGTATTGTCGCAAGGCGTCGTATG